GGGGCGATGCATAAATTTCAAAGATTCACCTCCTCCGGGGGCGGTAACCAATGGCCATCCTTTTTGCCTTTTTCTTTTTTAGTAGTTATCACTCGATATTTTCTAACCCAATCCAAATGAACCCTGGCCAATGCCCAGAGCTCCAGAGCCACTCTCCATTACCTGATCTTCCTCACCACCACCTTCAGGCACCGCATGTTCAACACGTGCAACACAGCTATTTTTTTTAATGATTTATGAATGCCTTGCTTCTCTGCAAGCTGAATTTGAGATGGCTATTTGGAAACCTTGGTGGCGTAGTGGTTAAGTGCCATGGCTGCTAACCGAAAAGTCGGCAGTTCGAATCCACTAGGCGCTCCTTGGAAACTCCAGAGGGCAGTTCTACTGTGTCCTATACGGTCACTATGAGTCGGAATCGACTCGATGGCAATGGGTTTGGTTTTATGGTTTAATATCATTCAGGTAATACAGAAAAACATAAAAACAAACTAAAAAGTCAGGATGAGCTAAAAAAAAAAAAGAGTCAGAATAAAAGGGCAAGACCAGGAGTAAGAACAGATAAGCAGGCCATAGGGTCTTGCACAATTATTAAAATTGAGCCATAAATTTGGCTCTCAGCTTCCTAGAGGCCAAAACTAAAAGGAAAACACATGTTTGTGATTCTCATTGTTCCTAAGAAAATACAAATACACTGCTGTTGGAGATTGCTGGCTTTTCCCTGGTTGCAGCTCTCAAAGAAATTCTCAAACGCTTTATATAGTGATTTTGAGTAATAAGCAAGGCTCTTGTATTAGTCATGTATTGTGTAACAAACTACCCCACACTTGGCAGCTTAAAAATCTATTTAGTTTCTCAGAGTACTGTGGGTCAGGAATCTGGGGCATAGGAAACAACTGGTTTCCACAGAGCAAGGGATCTAAGCAGGGGCAGATTAACTGGTAAGCAAGGTATGCATGGGTTTACAGTAAGCAAGGTACACACAGGTTTACTTGTGTTTATTTACTAATCTGTAGTGCACAGTTTCACCACATCTTTGAAATTCTGCACTCGAGATTAGTAAGTAAGCACAAATAAGCCCGTGCATAGCTTGCTTATTGGGTAATCTATCCCTTGATCTGAGAGACAAAGAGACAGAGTCACCATCTTTTTTGTAAACTAATATTGAAAGTGACAGTCCATCACATTTACATATTCCAGTGGTTAGAAATCAATCCCTAGGTCCAGCCCATGCTCAAAGGGAAGTGATTACACAAGGCATGAATACTAGGAGGAGAACATTGGGAGCCATCTTAAAGACTGCCCACCAGAGCCCTCAAAAAGATGCCCACAATAACTCCTTTAATGGTTTTCATAAATATAAGTAGACTCATTGTCCTGTAATCCCCTTCCTTCTGGATTCCTTTACTCGGTTATGCAATCTGCTGATCATCTGGCTTCACCAGGAAACCCGCCAGGGTTTCTGAATGATATTAAGCCATCTCAAATTCAGACTCATCATTATGTCTGTGGGATGTACCCATGCTATTGTACCTAGCAATTGTTATTTTCATTGCTGTGTAATAGTCCATTATATGAATACAACACAATTTTATTTCTCCATTGTACTGTTGATGTACATTTTGGTCCATTTTTTAGCTATTATGAAATGAAGCTGCCATGAATATTCCATAAATGTCTTTTGGTAGACATCAGCACTCACTTCTGTTGGAAATAAATCCAGGAGAAGAATTCGTGAGTCAGAGAATATATGTATGTTTTACTTTAGTAACTACTGCCTGTGTCAATTCAGGTCCTCCAAGAAGCAGATGCCAAGGTAGAATGAGATGTACAGAGATTTACTGGGAAAATGCCTGTGAAGAATAAAGGTGAAAGGGGGCAAGGGTAGGCAAGAAGAGCCTTCAGACCACAATGCAGGCCTGACAACTGTGCAAAGAGACAAGGAAGGAAGAAGGACAGGGTAGGAGAAGCTTCAGACTGCAGAGCAGTCAGGGTGCAGGGCGTCCCAGAGTAAAGATTGCCCATCACAGGAACTGTCTGTAAGGCAGGAGTGGCTCAGTGCTAGTTCCACTGCCATGTACCCTCGTTGGCTGATGGCAGCTTGGGGAGAGCATGGCCTCAGCATGAACAGCATAGTGGACCCAAACCTACAGCAGCTGCAGGTTATTGGCCAACTACTCTCCTTGCAGCAGGCTCTCTTGAAGAGAGACCAAGTAGTGTACCACCATGGCCACCACACTACCATCCAAAGTGTTTCTACCCAATTTAAACTCCCACTAGCCATGTATGAACATTCCTGTTACTCCACCAACACAAAACAATAGTCAATGGTTTTTAGCCACTTTGGTGGCTCTATAGAGGGGTGTCATGGTGGTTGTAAATCGCCTTAATCTGATGACTAAAGATTTTGAGCACCTTTTCATATGCTTATTGGCCACTAAGGCATTCTATTTGAAGTCCACACTTTTAAAAATAGGTTGGCTATCTTTTTCTTATGGATTTCTAGAAGTTCTTTATATATTCTAGATACAAGTTCTTTGTTGGATATGTGTATTGCAAATATCTTCTCCCACACTGAAGCTTGCTTTTTCTTTCTGTTAATGGTGCTTTTGTTGAAGAGTAGAACAGACTTCCTTGAATTCCACATATACATCCCATGACTGCTTATCTTGGGGCCTTCACACACTCTCCTCCTTATCTAAAGCTTAGATATCTCTTCCTCCCAGGAAGGCTTTCCCACCTCTGTTGTTAAGAGTCAGGTCTCTCACTTTGATTGTAATAGCCAGGACTCTGGTAACTCACCAGGCCAGGGTCTCAAATCCCATTAGGATTCTCTTTCTCCGTTTCCAATGAAAAAAGAAAACAAAAGAACTGATGCATTTAAACTGGTGTTGGCAAAGCATATTGAATATAACAATGGACTCAAACATCAACAACTGTGAATATGGCGCAGAAGCATACACGTTTCATTTTGTTGTACACGGGGTTGCTATGAGTCTGAGCCTTAGCAACAGCAACTAACAACAACATATGTCAATTTTGTTCTCTCAGGCCAGCTTTTTGCATACAGAAAGAAAAGTGACCCCGCAGTTCCTACATCTTGAATCTCTTTTTCTCTGCCTTTCTTCTCTTGAAAAATCCTGGGGAAGAGTCTGACCTCCCTGAACGACAGTCGTGAAGGGAAATCCTCTCAACGGGCAGAAGTTTGAGCAGTGCACCTGGTTGTTCACTTTGCTTGGAAGGAGAAATGGCCACATGTACGATTATATAGTGATTCATGGGCTGTGGCCAATGGTTTGGCTGGATGGTCAGGGACTTGGAAGGAACATGATTGGAAAATTGGAGACAAGGATTTATGGGGTAGAGGTAAGTGGATAGACCTCTATGAATGGGCCAAAGAAGTGAAGATATTTGTGTCTCATGTGACTGCTCACCAAAGGGTGACCTCAGCAGAGGATGATTTTAACAATCAAGTGGATAGGATGATGCGTTCTGTGGACACCAGTCATCCTCTTTCCCCAGCTACTCCTGTCATTGCTCAATGGGCTCATGAACAAAGTGGCCATGGTGGCAGGGATGGAGGTTATGCATGGGCCCAGCAGCATGGACGTCCACTCACCAAGGCTGACTTGGCTACAGCCACTGCTGAGTGCCTAATCTGCCAGCAGCAGAGACCAACACTGAGTCCCCAGTATGGCACCATCCCTCAAGGTGATCAACCAGCAACCTGGTGGCAAGTTGATTACATTGGACCACTTCCATCATGGAAAGGGCAGCGTTTTGTCCTTACTGGAATAGACACTTACTCTGGACATGGATTTGTCTTCCATGCATGCAGTGCTTCTGCCAAAACTACCATCCATGGACTTACAGAATGCCTTACCCACTGTCATGGTATCCCACACAGCATTGCCTCAGATCAAGGGACTCACTTCACAGCAAATGAAGTGCGGCAGTGGGCCTATGCTCATGGAATTCACTGGTCTTACCATGTTCCCCAACATCCTGAAGCAGCTGGCTTGATAGAACGATGGAATGGCCTTCTAAAGACACAATTACGGTGCCAGCTAGGTGGCAATACCTTGCAGGGTTGAGGCAGTGTTCTCCAGGAGGCTGTATATGCTTTAAACCAGCGTCCAATATATGGTGCTGTTTCTCCCACAGCCAGGATTCACGGGTCCAGGAATCAAGGGGTGGAAATGGGAGTGGCACCACTCACTATTACCCCTAGTGACCCACTTGCAAGATTTTTGCTTCCTGTCCCCTCGAGTTTGTGCTCTGCAGGCCTAGAGGTCTTAGTTCCAAAGGGAGGAATGCTCACACCTGGAAACACATCACTGATTCCATTGAACTGGAAGTTAAGAATGCCACCTGGCCACTTTGGGCTCCTTATGCCTCTGGATCAACAGGCAAAGAAGGGAGTTACCATACTGGCTAATGTGACTGATCCTGATTACCAAGAGGAAATCAGATTGATATTACATAATGGAGGTAAAGAAGAATATGTCTGGAATGCAGGAGATTCCTTAGGGCATCTCTTAGTACTACCATTTCCTGTGATTAAAGTCAATGGAAAATTACGGCAACCTAATTCCAACATAACTACCAATGACCCGACCCTTCAGGAA